CTTGTAACCATCAGCCTGTTCGGAAGGCCGTATCGTATCGTGAATTATTTACTGCTGGCTGGTTTGGTGTGAGAGAAAAACACTGTTCCCGGCTAAAAATTTACGATCGTTTACAAACAAGCGAACAGGCTGCATGACCGGCTGAAGAAGACGGCGTCACGTCTGTGTTTCAAAGTTGCTACCTTGAAGATGCCTATCCTTGAACTTTTTCCAAAGCAGCTTTAAAGAAAACAAGCAATAGCTATCCAATGTATAGATCGAGGACGACACCAAGTAGCTATCTATCTACTAGGTTTATACATGCAGATGGCAATACTTCGGAAGTAAGAATTGCCATGCGAGCGGGCTCACTGTAGACCCCTTTGAAATGCAAAAAGTTTGTATAAATCATTTTATATAAAAAACATATGAAACTTGAAAAAATCGCATTGAAAAAGGGTCCTAAAGTGGAGCTAGCATCCGCGGTACGTGGGGTAGCTTTCTTGGCAATGCACTCCCGCATGACCTTTTTCTCGTGACCGAAGCTCGTGCGATGTGGGATGTGGCCTGTGGTCTGTGGATAAGCAGTTAAGCACGACTGCAAGACCTCCGCAAGGGGCTGGGCGAGAGGTGTGCCACCTTTCTTGCACACAGGGCGCACGGTACGTATGGTGCACTGCGTGCATCTGCAGCACAACAGTCAACAGCAGCGGCTTTGTTCGCACAAGAACAGTCGTTTCCTGCAGGGCGGGCAGGCGAATCCTGCCACCGCCGGGGGCCGATCTGATCGCTGGGGCTGGGCTGGCTGGTCAACCCTCTCATATGGCTATTGTTCATACGAACCAGTCAATAGTACTTTTCTCTCACATAAATGAACCAGCAATAATACAAACCAGCCAATCGAACATGCTGCAATCGAACAGGCTGCTTGTAGCTTCACGGATTGTATCATGACGTGAGGCCTGAATCGCGAATGTTTTGGTTTTGTTCGTTTTACCTTTTCAATTTTCGCGTTCGGCGGTCAGGGGGTGGAGCCGTCCGGCCCAGATGTCGGAGAGCGGCGATTATGACGATCCTTGCACTTTTCTGATGTTCCACGTGATCCTGGCTATGCCTATCCTCTTGGCCACCATGTGTACCTGGGCGCCAAGCATCGTGTATCAGGAGAAACCGATGCAATACTTCTGGATGTCTATGGCATTCATACAGATCTTCAGGATGCAATACCGTGTATGGGCTTGTTTAGTTCCCAAAAAGTTTTTTAAAAAGGGCTGTGGTAGCCATCATATCGAATCTTACGATACGTGTATGAAGCATTAAATGTAGACGGAAAAAAAAACTAATTGCACAGTTTGGTTGGAAATTACGAGACGAACGTTTTGAGCCTAATTAGTCCATGATTGAACACTAATTGCCAAATAAAAACGAAAGTGATACAGTAGCCAAATTCCTAAAATTCACGAACTAAACACAGCCTATATATGTGTTTGATACTGTTTGACTTCTCGAAAAACGAGGCCCAGTCAATTCGTGCTTCTTCTATTCTAGGCTCGAACGCCTTAAAGTTATAAACTGTATGGTATGGTGCCTCACGGCAGTATGACACCAGTTGTGGTGACAACTATGACACAACTTTGGGCACAATTGAACTAAGATTTTTTAGGAAATCCACTACAATGGGCACAATTGAACTAAGGCCCTATTCGCTTGAACTTATCAGTCGTGCCGTTTCAACGAAATAACAATATTTTTTTTTCACAACAAATCAGCATTAGCATCCGTCGTTTTTTTAGCCAGCCGAACAGGGCCTAAGTTTCTTTTAGGAAATCCGCTGCACGTAGAGATTTGTGAAAATGTTCAAACAACAATGCAACTTTGGGCACAATCGATACAATTTTCAAACGACGTATTGATTTGCACTGCCCGTGAAATTTAATCTTTTCACGAGGAGCTTGTGAAAATTTTTCTTAACAGCAGTTTATCTCTGGTAGCATGTCAGCATTGAAGTCCTGACTAAAGAAACGCAGTGTGTTTGGCTCACATAGTCGCAGTATTCGGAGCCATCCAATCCTCGTACTGTTCGTTTGGCCGTAAACGATCGTAAATTTCTAGTTAAAATATCATTTTTTTCTCATACCAAACCAACCAGCAGTAATAATCCACGATCGTATACGATCGTTTCAGCCTCAGCCGAACAGGCTGCCTACCTCTGAACCTAGAGACAATGTTTAGTTTGCCACAGGAAATCAACCCGTTTGTCGTTGGGGTCGAATTTTTTATTTTTTAGCTTTTTTTAAAAAAAAAATCACAAATATGTTCCTGGAGGTATAATTTCAAAATCTGGACCCTTATCTCGACGCCATCATTGTTGGTGTCGAGCTTACACTTCTCGACGCCATCGTTGCTGGCGCCGAGGTCTTGGGCTCGACATAGACGTAGCGATGACTTGGCAGGCAGCTCGGCGCCGTAGATCTTGCCGTCATAGATCTTGGCGTCAAGCTTGGCGCCGTAGATCTTGGCGTCGTGGTTATTGGCGTCAAGCCTATCTTACGTATGGGCCCTCTTTCTTTCTCTCTTCCTCTCTCTCGCCCCGAACAAGCGCACCGTCGCCGCCCGCGCCCACGCCCTCGCCCGCCCCCGGCCGCCCACGCCCTTCCCCGAGCCCTCGTCCGCGCCACGCCCTACTTCGTTAGGTTGTGTTTGCAGCACGTGATCATATTTCACTACGTTCGCAACATTATACTAAATATTATGACCACAAATAATAAAAACAACTACATAATGAAAAGTCCAATACTATGCCACATTAAACAACACAATAATACTAGAAGTACGTGTCAACAGTAGACAACATTGTTCATGAATAAATCAAGAACTAGCAAGTCATGGAGACTACTGAGTGCAACGAGACCACTTTCTCTTCCTAAGGGCATCGAGATTCTCCTCCATCGCTGCTTTCGCTCGGTGTGCACGCTTAAGCTTCTTCTTCCTCTCCTCCCTGTACGCAGCAACACGCCTCATTTTCACCTTTTTCTTGTGCTTCTCTTTTGCAGCCTCCTCTCCGCGTCTCTTCTCCATCATCTCGTCCTTTGCCTCCCACCGTAACAGTTCTGTATCTATTTTTTGTCTTTAGGCTTGATCTCAGTGTCGATCCAATGCTCAAAATCACAGAGCGGTGGAGGGGTCTGCAAAAAATACAATTGTTACAAAACAAAAAAATCATTCAAGATGTCATATACCACAAACATCTATTCCTCACCATCTTGTTAATGCGGCGCTGACGAAGTGTAGGCTTAAACGCAAAATTTGAACACATCCAATACTTCTGCCTATACGTGTCCTCTTCATCGGACTTGGCTACCTTACAAGGATCGTCGCAAAAAGCACATGGGCACTGGAACACCACTGGGCAGAGGCAATGAGTCAAAGGTATTTCTGGTCATCCGGCCATAACTATAATTTAGCCATTTTCGTTCTAAGAACCGAAATCAATTAACATTAAATCCTACACCTATATTTTTTCATTTGATCGGAGAACAATGAACGCATAACATAACAACGTGCGATGAGGTTATCTCGGTTTCCTAGCTTTTTTAAGCCTTGGCATCCGACGGTTGTATAATATAAATATTAAAATTGCATGAAACCCTAAGTAATGACGATTTCTTAAGTTAAAAATCTGACTAATATATACCGAATCGATGTGAAAAAAAACTAGGAGGGAGCGAGGATACCTTGCTCTCGAAGATCTACGGATTAAATCAAAGTTTTCAAGGTCCAATATGCCGATTCGTGAGGTAGAGCGAAGTGGGGAGAGAAAAAACCCGAGAGGGAGGAGAAAGAAGAGGAAAAAGGCTCGGGTAGGAAGGTTGGGGCCGGTTTAAAACACCACCTCGCCGCTAGCGCCGATATCTATGGCGCTAAGCTCGGCGCCAGGACCTACGGCGTCGAGATGCATGCCAAGTCACTGCCACGTTTGCGTCGAGCCCAAGAATGGCGCCGAGAAGCGTAAGCGCGAGCCAGCAACGATGATGCCGAGTTAAAGGTCCAGATTTTGAAATCATACCTCCAGGGGCATATTTGTGAAAAAGACCCGTTCGTTTCGCTGAAAAAACAAGCCGACTGATTTGTAGTGAGAGAAAAACATTGTTTTAACTGAAAAGATGTTTAAAAAGTACAGACAAACAAATATGACCTTATTTTCAAAAAAAAAAAACGCTAAAAATAAAAAATTCGGTCATTGGGCCGTACCCTCCACCAGCATAAAAGCCTCATCGATTGATTCCTCTAAAAATAATACGACGACACCGTTTGCCAAGCGTGCTGATCCCAGTAGCGAACGCACGCCGCACGTATATATTGATGCCGGATGAAGTTGCTTCTCAAACCAAACAGACCGTAAAACAATTGCAATGAACGTTACGTTCGATTTGCATTTAAAAATGCTTCCAAAAAGTTTTTTGTCTTAATTTTTTCTATAAATATGAAAGGCCAGAATAGAAAATTGCATCGAAACAAACGGTACCCACCTGTCCAATATATTATACAAATTTTAGTCACCGACGTTTGGATTGGGTGATCATTATAATCCTGTATCTCGCTAGTTTGGATATGATTATTATGAGATCCTTTTTTCATCAGATTCTCAAAATCCGCTGAGGCTAAGATAAAAAAATTCCATCCTTGAAAGGCCGATATTCTGAAGTCCCCGAAGGACCGAAGGAATCGGAACGAACGAACTAACACACGTGTAAATCATGGACAGCTCAGGGACCGAGTCGTAAATAGCCCATCCTCCCTACTCCCTTCACTACCCCCTCCGTCCAGACTCCAGAAAAAAAAAAACCCTGCACACGCAGGTACCAGCCGTCGCGTGAAAACTGACTCCCCTCCCCCCCCCTTCTGCCGCACAGAGCCCAAATCGCGGCGATTCCTCGACCTCCGCCCTCCAGGGAGCCGCTGCGGCGCCGGGTTTCGTGCACCGTCTTGTTTGGCCGCCTCCACCTCCTCCGCGGCGACCCATGGCTCTCCTCGCCCCCGCCATCTCCGGCGAGGTACGTGCCCTTCCCGCTCCGCTTTCCCACGGAAACCTGGATCGCCCGTGCCTCTCAAGCGATTTCGCTCCCGCTCGTTCACCGGAGGGTGTCGTTGTCGTGCAGCTATGCTAATTTATTAACCGGAGGGATCGGGGTGTCGTTGTCGTGCAGCTATGCTAATTTATTAACCGTGTATGGTTTCTGTCAGCTGGGCTTGGGTAGGGGGACGAATGTGCAGATTGGGGTTGGGCGCGGCTGAATGTTTTGTACCGAAGGGCTGTGGCAGATCGTGGAACAAAACAGGGAGTTTCTGTTCGGTGGTTATGAAGCTTCCGTGCGGGTTGAGCCAAGTATGGTTGCCTTTACCAGGGAATGAGGAAATCCTAGCCATTGTGCCTCGAAATTTACCTTCTTCCCCGTCACTGAAGGGCTGAATTGATTATTGTGAGAACTGGGACAGTCCTGTAACCGCCATTGGTCTTGCAGTGTATCTTGTCAATATGGTTAGAAAATCAGTATTATATTAGTGGAAATGACTGGCCCATTAGGGGGAAAATATGAGTTTCAAGTATTAATCCATTTGTCAATCATCATGTGAGCTTGTTCGTGATATCTGATATGAACCCGCCTGGTTACATACTCATATTTGCCAAAGCTGATTGAATGGATAATGACTTTTGTGTTTTAATGTGTTCAGTTTTGTTTTGGATTTGATGCCTTTCAAGAGTGCACATGAATTGAATTTAAAATACCCTTTGTGTAGCAAATTTGTAACACCCAGTCACATGCCAAGAGTATCTTGCTCCACTAGCACCAGGGTATTTGCTTATTTACGAAACATTCTTCATTTTGCTGGTTCCTTTTATCCTATAGCCCAAAATTTAATGGTTGATCCATGGAATTCAAGTGCTCTTAGTGCATCTGAATATGGACACTTGAATATTCAAATTCCTGAGCCGTGGATTGTGTTGATACTTAACTTCTCTAAAGATTTCAGGATAGATTCTTCATAGATTTCACAATTTCCAAAAATATTCATTGCAACATAAATGTTATTTATGATTTGTGTTAAAACTGTATTCGCAGGTTGGTTTGCGGCTCTTATTGGCGCCGCTAAGCTCTAACATAGTCATCCGTACAGCCAGGTACTTAGATATTGTGATATGTTAACATGTTTATCTCTGTGTTGTGCTCCCTGGAAGTTGGCACTAGAGCGAATAATGAGTCAACTGCACTTTTTTTTTCGAGCTTTCTTTGAATTTGGCATAATCTTATTTATCAGTCTCCTGAATGGTTTGAGACCCAACTTCAAACCGAGCTTAACGAGCCGAGCCGAGCCGAAGTTGAAAGTCATTCAAAATCAAGTCATTTTCATTAAAAAAAAACGAGTTCAATCCGAGGACTTTCCACCAAGCCAGCTTAACGAGCTTTTTGTCCAGCCCTTTGGTATTGGTATGAGGTATGATACTAGAAAAGGTCGATAGCTTATGCTGTGCCAATAAAATAGTATATGTTATAAACTGTCCAATGGCCATACAGATGTCCATTCCTTGTAGTTTATCAGGTTTGCGAACAGGTTATGCTGGCAATAGTCAATAGCTACGACTTCAATCTATGTGAGCTGGGCATCATCTGTAACTAGAACATTTTTGTCTGCTATTAGGCACGATATTTCATGTTAAATTGCTTGGTTGTCTTATTTAATGTAATAAATGATAAAATATACATTATTTTGGCTTTCCTTTTCAAAAGTGTGCTACCATCATTGTATGGGTAATGATTTAATTCACGGTTTTTTATTCTCACCTCATGCTGCTGCAGTTGTGCTGTGGGGATCGGTCTACCTGTATACTCCACTTTCAGAGCTATAGAGAAGAAGGATGAAGAAGAGAAAGAGCGGTTGCTTTTGTATTGGGCAGGTCTGTAACGAGATGAATTTTTTAGTATTTTTCAATATTAGCTAATCAACTTATTTTAGTATATTGATGAAAATGCTGTACAAACTTTTGCTACTTTTAGCATTATACAGCAAAGCTGCGCATATGTTGTTGTACTTTATGGAGTTATTCAGCTGGTTGTATTTGATATTCAAGTAATATTCTGGATTTAGTACCATGGTTTTAGTACCCACTGTTTTTTTTCTCCCGTTGTAAATAGTCTTAGCTAATATTGCATGGGCACAAACTTGCCTTCTCTTGATTTAACGAGTTATAGACTTGGATCCTGTTTGGGTGTTAGTTCCCAGAAAGGGGAAAACCATGGTGTTGATAAACTACAATTTTAGAAACCAGGGCTATGTAATATCACAGTTTAGGCCCGGGTTCAAGTTTCTTAAATTCTAAAAAAGGCTACGGTTTTGGCAATAGTATGGTTTTTAAAACTACAAAATTTATTACTTATTATATCCAAACACCTTATAGTTTTTAAAACCAAATTCTTTTAGCAAAACCATAGTGTTTTCTGAAAATTCCAAAATATTTTGCATTCAACCAGGTCCTTAATAATACCATAAGAATGAGAAATTTTACTGTAGCCACAAATCTAAAAATATCTGCATTTTGTTTCCCGTTGCTTGTTGCTTACTTACATTGATATCTGAACCATAACTCCTTTGCAAAATGTTTTTGCAGCATATGGATCTTTTAGCATTGCTGAAGTGTTCCCGTTGCTTGTTGCTTATATTACATTGATATCTGAACCATAACTCCTTTGCAAAATGTTTTTGCAGCATATGGATCTTTTAGCATTGCTGAAGTGTTTGCAGATAAGCTTCTTTCAAGGTATGAATATCTGACGTTATTGAAGTGTTTGACATGTTAACTGAAGAACTATTTCTTGTTTTTTTGTCATGACCATGAATAGCAATGCCACTATTCATTAAGCACTGGTTGTAACATTTTGTTCTGCAACCTTGCATTATTAGACTCCATGCACTCTCGTTATTATCTCTATGGAAGACCTTCTGGCTAGAATTATTTTTTTAGGAAATGATGCATTGAGAGTCTGTTTCATTTAAGAAAATCCTTCAGTAACTTGCTACATTTTTTTATTTTGTTTTTGTGCTTTACATTTGACAAAGTATCATTCTGTTTACCTTCATGGCATTCTTATTTCATAACATTGTGTATGTACTTGATTATTTTACTTTACATTTGCCATAAGCAACATGCCTTCTTTTTGTGCTATTCGTTTGGCATCAGTTAAGTGTTTTCAATCCTACCTTAGAAACTATTTGAACATGTGTCTGCTGCTGTTCTCCAGTGTTCCTCTCTATTATCATGTGAAGTTTGCTATCCTTGTGTGGCTCCAGTTCCCTTCAAACAGTGTAAGTTTCCCTTGCCCCTTCCATCCCTTCGTCTAAATTTCGTATTGTACTGTTCAATTTTACCATTTTACCACTCTGTGATATGGCTTTAGTTCAAATGCATGATATTAGTGAGTAGTGACACTTGTTCTTTGAATTGCCCATTTTCTACTTCCATGAGCTTTGTTGCTCTGACCCATAAACCATTCCAGTTCTCTTGTAGTGGGAGTTTGTCAAGAACTTTCCATCAGCTTTATATATGTTTTCCTTTCTATTGCTTATGAAGTACATACTCTTGGCTTCTTTTAAACATCGTTTCAATGTTTTCTTGTGACAAGACACATGCTGCCTTTTGGACAAAAAAGTTTAACTATTATGTGGCTTGCTGTATCTTTGATGATTGTTTTGATTGAATTCGTGTTCTTTGCTTTCAGGGATCAAAGCATGTATACAAAAGATACCTGCGCCCATTTTTCCTGAAACATCAAGCAAAAATTGATAGGTTTCTGAATATTCTGTCAAAGGAACTTGTAAGTGTGTTCACTGTGCATCTCATAGACATTGTAGTTCTTGGATTTATACTGTTGAAAGTAATACTGTACAAAACCAGATGAAGTTTGTGAGCAGCCATGAAGATGAAATTCGTTTTATAGAGAACATGGCCATCAGAGGCGCTACAACAGGTATACAACTGGGAACACCCTGTATAAAACATTATGCACGCACAGACAATAGACTAACTGCTCAGGAAAACGAGGTAAAGATAATTTCTAAAGTTGGGTTTAGACCATAAATAATTAAATAATAAAGATCTAGTCACAATTTGGATCTCAACATGTTAAGATTGATTTGTTTTGTGGCTCAAATGCTTGCATGGTGTGCTGTTATTTTTGCCTGTGCCCTCAACATGACTTCATATGCACATTCTTCTGCACATAGCATTTCTCATCCTATCCCCTCTGCCTCATAGTCGCAATCGTGCATTGTGACTTTAGAATATATCTAGATTTGAAGGAAAATGAATTTATGCTGCTTTTGTTTGTGACAGCAAACTACATTGTAAATGGCCTCGACCAACCTGAAGAAACACGAGCGGTTAATACATTTGAGGGTCGAAATACAACTGTGACGGAAGAAGCTGGTGTGTCAGGAACTGAAACTTAAGCTGAACTTTCTATCTCTGCTCACGATCTCTGATGCAGCAAATACGATCTGGTTGGATATGCTTCAAAATTGTTTGTTGAGGTCACCCAGCTTGTCTGGATTGTGAATACGACTGTTCCTGAAAGGCTAAATCTAGAGACAATGTTTTAGCATTAGCTAGATATCCATATAGCAACTAAAATGGGTGTTGGACAAATTTGTAGCACCAGTTTGTCATTTACAGTGTAAAAATGACCCGGTGTGTTGTCATCTTTCACGTTGGAGCAATTTGAATCCTGCGATGAAACAATCTTTCTAAAGCATGAATTCGTGGTGGTTAGCATACTTTGGAACATCTACTTGTGCATGCGATCGTGTACATCAGTGGTGCATCATAATTCACCCTTCAAATTTCCTCGTTAGCTTGTGAAGAATGACGTAATGATAGATCAACTTATTCCATTTTTCGAAACAAACAAAACCCAAACAAAAAAAAAGTGAGTAGCCAGAAAAAAAGTGAGTAGCGAGAAAAAAAAAAATAGTAGCGAGAAGGTAATGGACTACTACATTGCTAAAAAAATCGAACATCCCAATTGTTTGCCCCCTCTTTCTTGGGAGAAGGCGGGCAGGCGGCTGCCCTTTGTCAGCCAAGCACATCCTGTAGGCCTGAACATGCCGTGTCACTGTCACGGACAGAACATGTTGAATCATCTCGCAATTTTCCTACCAATTCAAAAGACATATTGCAGTCAATAGCAATTTAGTTACGAACCTCCAGAGTCTAGACATCGTTGTAACTGTCCGTGAACCTTTTTACCGAAAGACAATTTTTTTTTATAAAGTACAACTTCAGTAGAACGCTAGTATGAAAGCAGGTTTCTTTAAGAAGAAACCCATTAATCCTTCTGTTTGGTTTTAAGTTATCTTGGGTCAAAACTATGAGACTGTACTAAGTTATAGAGAAAAGTAACAACATTACCTCATTGTATATAGCGATACTAATTTAGTGCAATAAATATATACTTTAAAATAAAAACTGTTCAAACTATTATAATTTGGTTTAGGATAATTATCTTTTTCATAATACCCAAGAATTATACTTAATTTGGTACTCTTATTGTAATATAAGAATGACAGGTGTACAAATTCTCTCCTAGTTGATCATTTTCATTCTTCATAGACACGTCACATGTTGCCTCTGCCTCTCTCACCTTTGAAGATTGCACAGATATACAGCTTGTTCGCTTGCTCATATATGATCGTGGATTATAAGCTGGTATAGTATTTTTCTCTCATACCAAACCAGCCAGCAGTAAATAATCTACGATCGTTTATGACGAAACGACCATGCTGATGTACTACTCCTAATAATACTTTATGACTGCAGGTGTGCTACTGTGCTGTGTGGGGCAGCCTGGCAGAGTTTCCGTGATAAACCTGCGCCATAACCCCCCCCCCCGACCGCCGAATCGCCCATCGAGCCATGGAATTGAATCTCGACAAAATACTCGCGGCATGCCAACTTGTTCGACTCATGGCCAGCTTAGATCGACTCGATTCGGCTCGTTTTAACTTTTTCACAAGTTGAGCTAAAAGTCTAGCTCGTTATTTTAAAGAGCCAGCTCGAATCAGCTCGCGAGCTGCTCACGAGCTGAGACCTATCAGCCCACGACCATGAATCCAAAAGATAATGATGCTGACCTAGAAGTGTACATCTATTCTATTAGTATGTAATCCTTATTTTTAGCTGTTTCATATGAATTTTAATTTTATAATTGTTGTGATACTTAAATGTTGGTTTTATGGATTGTTTTATAGAGAGAAGATTATGATGCTAACATTGAATTTGTGGATTTTTCTAAGTTTGTGGTGGCAAGCAACTAATTAGTATGCTACAACTGCATGATCATGAATGGACCAGCTATGTTGTATGGTTGATACTTTTGATGAACCTGCATTTGACAGGACTTCGATTATCAAAATCCCATGCTGCTCTTGCCTTAGAATTTGAAATTTATTATTTATTTATTTGCAGACTTCAATTATCAAAAGTTCATGTTTTAGTTCACAATATATTTGTGATATTTATAATTTTCTTATTTGACAACATGTCCATTTATTATTTCCCTATTGAGCATCATGTATTTCTGCTACAAAGAAAGACATTCATGTCATTTTACCAGTCACTTGATGCCGTTACTAGCCTAAATGGACGGCAGTGCTATCTAGGAAAGGAAATTTCAACTTGGTGTCAAATAAGAAAGTTCAAATTTTTTTAGTGCCAAATGCGGAAGACTGATTTGTTTCAGTGTCAAATACATAATTCTCCCTATGTATTAATCATGTATGGTTGCATAATGGCGGACGTCACCTTCTGACATTAATGTAGCATAAACATTATAAACAGATGTGTTCTATTTTTTTATAGCTCATATGCTAAACGAGTCAGCTCAAGCTCTATAACGAGCTGAGCCAAACTATCCCTCTTAACTCGTCCCTCTAACTCGTAATATTATTGAGTCGAGCTGAATCGAGCCGAGACGAGTTGGCTCGATATGCTGCCCTAGCTAGAACACAGTTGAAGGCACCAGACTACTAGAGGTGATTCCATCACGCGACCAAAGACCGGAGTCTCCCCGGGCCCCAGTGGCCAGCGCCCAGCCAGGGGTAGATCGCCGACGTGTGCCCACTTGTCACGCCCCTAGCCCGTCTCCCGAACCGCCCCTCCAGACCCTTCTCGAACGCCCATACGATCTGAATCCAACGGCCGGGTCTCCGCCGCGCTCGAACGTTCTCGAAACCACGTCACCCCCCGATAAAACCCCACGCCCTGCCTGCTTCCTTCCCCAGCTATCGTTCCAAAAGCAAAGCAAGCGATCCTAATTCTCTCCGTTTTCTCCAGATCTCGAGTTTCGCTACTAGTTTTGATTCATTCATTCTTTCGTTCGAGAGAGCGATTCTCTGGTGGCAATGGCAAAGAGCGAGGGTCCGGCGATCGGGATCGATCTCGGCACCACCTACTCGTGCGTCGGCGTGTGGCAGCACGACCGGGTGGAGATCATCGCCAACGACCAGGGCAACCGCACCACGCCGTCCTATGTCGCCTTCACCGACACCGAGCGGCTCATCGGCGACGCCGCCAAGAACCAGGTCGCCATGAACCCCACCAACACCGTCTTCGGTACGTGCTCACTCCTCCCTCTGCCTTGCCATGTTTCTCTGAATGCTTAGAGCCTCTTGTATGCTCAGAGTAGTTTAGTTGGATCTACAGTTTAAGCTCTGAAATCGTGCTCTCTGAATGCTTAGAGCCTCTTGTATGCTCAGAGTGGTTTAGTTGGATCTACAGATTAAGCTCTGAAATCGTGCTCTCTGTGCTGATTGATTACGGTGCTTTGTAGCAACAAAAATAGGAACCATGGTAGTACGATGATATGACAACGTGTATTTTGGTGGTTAGTGGTATTTATTTAATCTCCTGTTGCTGTTATAGGCACTTAGATTCAGACGTTTACTGTTAATTCGCGATAGGGTTTCATACTATATAGGTGAATACTATAATTGGTTCGTCTGCAGAGCTTATTATTTACCAAAATTAGATTAGATACTCCTAATCTGTTCTTGTTTGTGTGCTGTTAAATTGTTAGTGACCGAAGAAAGAAAGAAATATAATAATTGACGTAATTTTGATGTTTATCCATGCTTGTTTATTGTGGCGAAATTAAGATGAAGTGTCCTTGTCCTAAATTATTGTTGCCTGAAGAAATAAGTAACTGACAGTATTTCGATGCATTGCCCTGCTCATTTGTTCTGACAGAAAAATAAAGAAGAAAAGTTCCCCTGCTATAATATTTTTGTTGCTCTGCTTCCCTTGAGAAACGCGGTAAACTGATAGCATATTGCTATGCTTGTTTTACATATTGTAGCCGTCCCCTGTTTTCTGTTATAATGCCCCCCACAATAAGTTGAACTGATTGGAAGATGTCTTGCTTGATGCCTTCTCCCTAGTGCTGACCACTGTTACTCACACAATCTTTGCTCATTTCATTGTAATGCAGATGCCAAGCGGTTGATCGGCAGGAGGTTCTCTGACCCGTCAGTGCGGAGTGACATGAAGCTATGGCCGTTCAAGGTCATCCCAGGCCCTGGTGACAAGCCCATGATTGTAGTCAACTACAAGGGTGAGGAGAAGCAGTTCGCTGCTGAAGAGATCTCCTCCATGGTGCTCATCAAGATGAGGGAGATTGCTGAAGCCTACCTCGGCTCTACGATCAAGAACGCAGTGGTTACAGTGCCAGCCTACTTCAACGACTCGCAGAGGCAGGCCACCAAGGACGCTGGTGTCATTGCGGGCCTCAATGTGATGCGTATCATCAACGAGCCTACTGCTGCTGCTATTGCCTACGGTCTTGACAAGAAGGCCACCAGCTCTGGCGAGAAGAACGTGCTCATCTTCGACCTTGGTGGTGGCACGTTTGATGTGTCGCTCCTCACCATCGAGGAGGGCATCTTCGAGGTGAAGGCCACTGCGGGTGACACTCACCTTGGAGGTGAGGACTTCGACAATCGCATGGTGAACCACTTCGTCCAAGAGTTCAAGCGCAAGCATAAGAAAGACCTCAGCGGCAACCCCCGTGCACTGCGCCGGCTGCGCACGGCGTGCGAGCGCGCCAAGCGCACGCTGTCATCGACGGCCCAGACGACTATTGAGATCGACTCCTTGTTCGAGGGCATCGACTTCTACTCCACGATCACCAGGGCTCGCTTCGAGGAGCTCAACATGGACCTGTTCCGCAAGTGCATGGAACCTGTGGAGAAGTGCCTGCGCGACGCCAAGATGGACAAGAGCAGCGTGCACGACGTCGTGCTTGTCGGTGGCTCCACCCGCATCCCCAAGGTGCAGCAGCTGCTGCAGGACTTCTTCAACGGCAAGGAGCTGTGCAAGAGCATCAACCCCGACGAGGCTGTGGCGTACGGCGCGGCTGTCCAGGCCGCCATCCTCAGCGGCGAGGGCAACGAGAAGGTGCAAGACCTGCTCCTGCTCGACGTCACGCCACTGTCACTCGGCCTGGAGACTGCAGGTGGCGTCATGACGGTCCTCATCCCGAGGAACACCACCATCCCGACCAAGAAGGAGCAGGTCTTCCACGTACTCCGACAACCAGCCGGGCGTCCTGATCCAGGTGTACGAGGGTGAGCGCGCGAGGACCAAGGACAACAACCTCCTCGGCAAGTTCGAGCTCTCCGGCATCCCTCCTGCTCCGCGCGGCGTGCCCCAGATCACGGTCACCTTCGACATTGACGCCAACGGCATCCTCAACGTCTCTGCCGAGGACAAGACCACCGGCCAGAAGAACAAGATCACGATCACCAACGATAAGGGCCGGCTGAGCAAGGAGGAGATTGAGAAGATGGTGCAGGAGGCTGAGAAGTACAAGGCCGAGGACGAGGAGGTCAAGAAGAAGGTGGACGCGAAGAACACGCTCGAGAACTACGCCTACAACATGAGGAACACCATCAAGGATGACAAGATCGCCTCCAAGCTCCCGGCAGAGGACAAGAGGAGGATCGAGGACGCCGTCGATAGTGCCATCAGCTGGCTGGACAGCAACCAGCTGGCTGAGGTGGACGAGTTCGAAGACAAGATGAAGGAGCTTGAGGGGGTCTGCAACCCCATAATCGCGAAGATGTACCAGGGCGCTGGCGCGGGCATGGGCGATGCTGCTGGCATGGATGAGGATGCCCCGTCTGGTGGGAGCGGTGCTGGTCCTAAGATCGAGGAGGTCGATTAAGTTGTTTAGTGTCCGAGGTTTGGTTTGGTGAGGCTTGAAGCACATCTGAATTCTGAAGGTTGTCATGGAGTGATCTTGCGAAGTGGTGTCGAATAGCTGTGGACTGTGGTCAGACTTTTCAGAAATAAGTTTTCGTTCCTAATTTGTTTTCTTAAATCATGTGTCGATCGCCTTCGAATTGTTTATATCGTTGCCTTTCATGTTAAACATTTGTTCTCTTGCCTTGCTAATAAGAGCTGAATTCAACTGCGTAAATCGTACGAAGAGAATTAAGTGCTTAGGAGCGCCCAAATTAAGTCGTATAGAATAGACGAATTCAGTCGTATAGAATAGAATGAATAAAGAAAGGAGAAGAAAAGAGATGAATAGTTTGCATAATTTACATAGATGAATTCAGCGTGATTTGGTTTCTGAATCCCAAGAAGATACAAGCTCGCTATATGTCCCATGCACTGTCATGAAAACTTTTTAAAACTGAGTACATTCTTTTCAAAGGGATGGCCTGTGATGTGTGTACTGTTTATCTTTGTTTCCAAAGCTGGCCTGTGATCCTGTCTAGGATGTTTGGTCAATTTTTCACACATGCGTTATTCCAGCAGAACTCATCTGGAGCGAAGAGCTGCAGAGCCTCGTATGATCAGTTCGTTTTTAACGCCTATAGTTTTCTAGATATATAGTTATATATGTGCACCTACATATAGGTTAAATTTTTATTATGTGGCCTATTATTTGGATCAGTCATTACGGCAAATAGCAGTATAAAATTCGGATGATATAAATTGGTACTATAATCAGAATCCAATATACAAGAATGAAGTAATAAATAAACTCAGACCAGGGATGCCACGGCAACTGTAGAACAAGAGGGTTAAAGGACACCTAGAGTGTTAAAACACACTACTTCACCAAAGCTTTTTTTGTTTCTGAAGAGATCAAGTACCATCAGAGGCACTTACAAGGCTACAATCATCAGCTCATTTCACATTTATCTGGGTTATATAGTTGCACCTGAGAAATGCTTCAAGAGCAATACCGTTTGCAAAGGGGCATGCTCACATTGGAAACGTTACAGCTGATTCACAGTATGCGCAAGCTTTGAGTTTATAGTTGCAGGATCAGTATTAGCTGGCTCGCTGCATTCATCTCTGCAAACTATATAAAGAGAAGTATGTTCTTGCTCACTCAGCATCGCAATCTCTCTTCTATGATACGACTTGTTTCTCTGCTAACAAAAAAAGGAACACCTGTGTCTGAGGTGTTTGATGAAATATTCAATCCCCTGTTGTTTTTCCCTTCATAACTGAAATTTTTGACGGTAGAGACAAGAAACTGGTACAAACATCACAATCCAACAATCAAACAAGTGACAACTCAGAATATTATTTTCTTTAATTGAACTTAGTACAAAATCTAAACATGAGGGTTAAAAAGACACCCATAACACAAAAGCTAGAACAAACTAGTCTTCAGCCAAGTCTTTGTGGCTGAAGAGACTTAGTATGGCACAGGTACTGAAAACATTAGGTAGAGAACAAGCATACTGAAACCTTGATTCTCAGCTAAATTTGGCATAAGTCTGGGGTTACAAGCAAGACGGAACATGGTGCAGAGACCTTACTCAGCTTAGGTCAAAAGTAGATCATTAGCTCCAAAGTGAGGGGGTCGCAGAGAGACCCTAACTTCATGTTCTTCAGGTTCATTTCCTCGTTTTGGGACCATGATCTCAAGCACTGAGGCAGCCTCATCAAAACATGCCTCCAGCTTAGCATCTTCAGGGATACGAGTAGCTAGAGGTATTTCACGGATGAAATCCCCAGGAGGGCAATGCTCAGGGGAAGGGTCGGCAAGCTTGAACGTCCTACCACGTCTCCTTATATGTTGCATCCTAGCAGTACTAACACAAACGATCTTCACAATGCCATGAGTCAGAGTGTTCCTCCATGAAACCTTCACCCTCTGCTGATCAACAAACGGCAAGCTGACCATTATTAAGTAGCCCTGGTCATCCTCATAGATAGACTTGGCAGCAGTCACTGGCCCACAAGCGTTTCTCATCACCCCAGCAAACTCATGGAGCCATGCAGGTTGCGCTGGTGAATGCATCTCCACATCTTGTTGTGTCTTCTGAGGGCAAGAATTCAGTGGGAAGAATACTTCCTCATCCATGGCTTGTGGGGATAATTCCTTCCTACGCTTGCTGCTGACTGGGGAGAGATCCATACCATCTTCGCCTGAATGATTGGACGGTGATGACAAATTCAAGCCCGCTTTCTTTGGGTTTTGGGTACCATTGCTCTTCATGACAGGGTGTGGCTTCTCAAGCTCAAGCTCTGAGTTCGGAATGGTCCTCCATGTCCCAAAATCACTGGCTTCCTGCGGGATGATGAAATTGAGCTCCCTCCCTGTAAGTTCTGCCCACCTCCTAAGGTCTGCCTCAGTGAGCCCTGCAAGATTTGGTGACCTGACCACCTCAATCCCATGAATACATTGCGGGTTTGACAGACCCCTGTAGTGCTTACGCTGCATCCGGTGCGACCGCACAAATCCCCTGTCGACACTGAATGGGAACTGCGGCTCACCAGGCCGGAGTGCCCGTTCATGTAGCTCCTCAGCTGCATCTTCCGAGAGCATTCTCCGGCCGCTCCTTGAACACCCACATGTACATGTTCTCCATGTCGTGCTGCACCAGGAACATGTCAAGGCGGAGGTCCGACTTGTCGAACCCCGAGACGCCGGTGTTGTCCCGGACGACCTTGTCCTTGCACTTGTCGGACAGCAGGGGCTTGAAATAGAAGGTGAAGAAGAACCAGGCGCCCCAGATGGTGTCCCCGCGCTTGGCGGCCTTCCGGCTCCCGGCCTTGGGAGCGCAGCTGAGCACGGCCTCGGCGCTGTAGATCTGCGGGCCGAGGCCGACGTCCAGCATGTCGCAGAGGTCCGTCTGCCAGGGCTGGTTGATGTCGGGCGGAGGCGCGCCGGAGGGCGACACGGCGTGGGCGCGGGCGCCGGCGCCGGCGCCGACGCCCCCTCCGATGAGGGCCTGCACCATGACGCCGACGGCGCGGTCGTCCGGCGCGGAGAGGTGGCCGGACGGGTCCATGGAGAGGAGCGTGCAGGGGCCGTGGTGGCCACGCCGCCGCCGCCGTTCTCCATGGACAGGGTGGTGACGAGGTCTTCCCCATAGCTGCTGAGTCGCGCCGCGGGTGGTGGGGGTGCTAACGGCGGCCTCCGCCTCCTGTGGTCCCTCGCTCCCCAGCCGCTATCTAATCGGTGGCCTCATGATCCCTCCGCACTCCAAGAAGGCGTCCCACAGCAACCAGTCATGCACCCATTCCATGAACCCCACCATCAATTCCACCACAAATCTTTGACCAGCCTCCTCCTCCTCCTCCCCCGGGCCAAATCCACACGACCCACAGAATGCCGCGCTCGATGGAACGAAGAAACCGAAACAAAAACTCTTCTAAACTGGGAATGAAGGGACAGACAACAGAGAGGGACGCACGGCGGTGCGTGCGGCGTGCTAGCCGACTGTTACCTCCATCATCAGAGATGCGAGGGCGTGGTGGGGAGCGAGGAGATGCGAGGTCAAGAGCGCGGGGAGGAAGGCGAAGACATGAGGGGGGTGGGATGCGAGATTGGGAAAGGGGAAGGGATGGTTGCCGGGGGCGGCCGATTTTAATGGCCTCTCTGGGACGCCCGGGAGAACCCTCCACCGGATAGGATCGGCCAGCGAGGCGCCGTCCATTTTTTTTTTTTTTGACGGCCACGGCGTTAGGGCTCCGCACACGCACGCCACGCGGTCTCCAACTCCAAGCCAGGCCGCGGGCCGTGCCGTCCGCCCGTTTTGTCATTTTTTTTCTTTTGTGGAAAACCGGCGGATCACACAGCCTGGATGCTATAGTCGATAAGTTCTATAATAAGTCATAACACTGTCAATGACTTGGGATGACTTGATATCATCAGCAAGCTATCAATTATTATTTTTTATTTTGGCAACAGACATAGTTATCCTTGTTAGCTCAACAAAGCTCTTGGCCGGCGTCAATGGGCAAAGCATGGTGCTGGTATCAAACTGCCACGACTTGTCCACTGTTTCGTTCTGACGGAACGCATAAGCGAGAGGCCATTTAATTTGACCTTTTAAGACGCAAGAAATTCCCGGTTGGGAGAACGGATTTCATCGTCAGATTCCGACGGAACTTCCAAAAGCGAGTAGCATTATCCACCTGCTTTTGGCCCTTCAATTTGTCTACGGTTCTTGGGTCTGGACTCTGGAGTCTGGACCGAATCGAGTGGACTACGTACGTACTGGCTATCGACCAAGGACAGGACGGGACCGGAGCCGGAGGAGTACGGCGTCACCGAGGCAAGCAGAGCCCCGAGCGCACGACCCCGAGAAGCAAAGATTGCGTCGCCGTTCGCCGGTTCGGGTGGCTTTTGTGGAACGACACGGCGCGAGTGGCTCTGTGGCTGGCTGGCCTGGCCCTCTGCACCGCCGCTGTGCTCCTCTCCTTTCCCGCAGCTTCTATTTCGTGGGCCAGGCGCGCGATACTTGTCCCCTCCTGTCGTGCCCTCCTCGCGTCGCTTTGAGGGCTTTGAGCAAAAGCATAGCGTGTGATTCCGGTCGCGGCCCATACTTTCTGGTGGCCGAGCTGCGTATCTCGTTCGTCTACCCGGCTCCTGATTGGATCATGTGGAATCGGCGTGGCAAGCGACGGCCGTCACACACGCAATGCGTTGCCTTGCCTACACTCGTTAGCAGCTGGGTCGGTGGCTCAACTGTTTTTTAGGCACGTGTCTAAACGTTCTGCACCTCTTTGCTAGTTTGCTGGGTATTTCTCTTTAACCGGAGAAAAGGATAGACTGTCAATCGGTCTAGATTTTTTTTTTTGACTAACGGACGGAAAGTTTAGGCATCCAGAGTTTTAGACCATGAGATCCACGAAGGAATTGTGTTGCTCAATATCCCTATTAATGTTAGCCCTGTTCGCTTAAACTTATCAGCCATGGTATAGTGTTTTTCTCTCGTAATAAATCAGTGAATAATATTTTTTAGTCTGGCTTTTCAACGAAACGAACAGGCCCACATGACAGTTGACAGCCCAGCCTTCTACTGATCCATGGTGTCGTGTTCCGGTGTCCCTATTTTCAACCTCACCGCCCGGCGCCCGCTGACCAGCCAGCGTTTCGATTTTGTGGTGTGGACCACCGTGTTACTTCCAAACACGGGATGGTGACAACAAAACCAGATTCTCGTATCGACAAAAACCCATGACGGACCCAGCTAGGATAATCACTTATCATCATGACCCCGTTTTAGTATATACTAGTATTATATAAGTGCATGATAGGCTCATAGTTTCATGTGCATCACTGCCCAAGGTTTCGGTAGTAACCTATGTGCATCACTGCCTCCTAAATTATTCTTTAATGGCATGTTTCAAACAATTATGCAAGACTATATAAAAAAGGAAACCAACTTATATATATGAACGTAAAATAACAAAGGGAAAAATGTCGCTCGGTTGCCGAATCTCTTTTAGTCACAGACTCGTGCCAAAGTTTGAAAATAGTGTACCAAGGAAGCGTTCATATTTGACTTGTCAGTCGGCAGTTGGTTTGTTTATCAAACCGAGAAAAAAACTAAAGCAACCTATCGCCTGCCTTCTCCGCTCTTATCATGGTGGTTGGTACACCAAGAATGGCAAATTGGCAATGCAGTACGTATACCGGGTGGGGCTTGACCTAGCCAACAAGACAATTAAAGTATGGTACTTTGGATTTCATTGTCGCTCTCCGAATAAGATTCAAACACCCTTTGTTTTTATCCCACAACCATGGCATTTGGATGGCGATGGTTTCCATCCCAAAACCCAGCATAAAAAATAACAGGTGCTTAGCTAGGCGCATTGGCACTGTGTCATGTCACTGAAAGATCATATTGAAGTTTTCTTGAGGTTTACAGTTAACTATTGCTATTATTGTAATTAATTGCACTCTTCTTGTAGATATAGATTATGTGCTTAAAAACGACAATGTTCACAATTGAAGGATTATTCCCAATGGATCAGGAGAGGTGGGATTGCCAAGAAGAATGTTGACCAGACAGGTTTATAGAAAGATTTGGAGGATATTTGACCAGCCACAAGGGACGACTAGGCATGGCGAGTGGACAACAAGAATGGATAGTTGTGGTAGGTTGATTGGGTTGGTGTGTGTGTGGGGTGGGGGTGGTGGACGGCTTACCATGTACTCTAATAATGAGCCATTTTCTCTCATCTCCAAATGAACTTGAAGTCAATGAAGCTACTATTTTTTTTGCTTCATTGGCTCCGACTCCACCCAATATAGCAAGGAATCAGAGCCATTTAGAGCCATGCCAAATAGGGCGTCAATGAGTCAGTGCAACGAGGTGGCAATAATAGATCCGTCAGTAGAAAGATCCCCAAAGATGGGTGGAGGTAGGAAAGTATACTTTGTGGAGCTAGCTACACAAAAGAACGTGTCTAATGCTTGATGATACACACACGAAAAGGAGGAGAAAGGCACAAGGGATGTTGGCTGTCTTTTCCGAATATAGTCTGAACATTGACACTCGTATATGTACACACACTCGCTCCTATGAACATATATCTTGCTGCAGCAGCTACACACACTACCTACCTCCATGAGCATCTTGAAAGACTAATACCGACCAACGGATCTCGAGATTCATTAATTCACCATAGATGCCCCATTGTCAACGGACACGCCTATAACTAAAAGAACAACGCTCGTCGCCTCGTTCGTTGTGAGTCGGCCAGCAGAAGCACCAGAGCGTAGGTGCCCGCCCACCCCGACAGCGCGCCGCTTCAGAAGTGGAAGCATCATTTGGTGGACACCGTTCTCCGGTGAAGGTTGCTCGATGGATGAACGGGCTCGTCTCCACTATCGCTTGTGCAGAGGCAGCCACAAGTCACGCCCCGCGCAGGAGGGATAGGCCGGCGTCATGGGTGCCGAGACGTGCCCAGAAAGCTCCAGGACCATCCCCTAGGCGCGGACGTGGCCACCCCTCCAAGGCCATGCCTTAGCGCCATCCCCCCAGGCGCGGACGTGGCCACCCCTTCCGCGCAGCTGAACGCGGGAGCTCCGCCGCCAAGAGGCTAAAGCGACTCACCAACAAGATCTTGTGTAAGGCGCCATTGCCACCGCTGCCTCAGCCGGCTGTGGAGACACAACCAAAGTTGCCGACTCGTAGCAGGAGGATCGCCACATAGACGCTTTCACGCGTCTCGGCTTTTAAGCGGGAGAGGTGCTGGTGATGAAGCGGATGGGATTGCTCGACGGACAAACGAATCCTTCCACGACAGCCAAGAATGCATACGACAATATCTTCGTCACGAGGCGCCGCGTAAACAAGCGCGTTTGATCGCCGATCTTGGCTAGGTAGCATGATTAGTGAGTAATAGCCCATGATCTCCTGCTAGGAAGGGCAGAGCCGATTGTATAACACTAATCCCTTAGTGTGCCATGTCTGTGGCGCGTCGTTGTAACTTTTACTATTTCTCGATCTTAATACAAAGATGTGCAGACCTTTTGCATATTCGAGAAAAAAAATTCTAAAATAAATCCACAAAAATGCAAACATCAGTACCAAGTTAATGTGCAGGTTCAACCACAAGAAATATAGGGAATTTATCACCTAGGACTAAGATGATGGGGGGGAAAATACAACCCTATTTTTCTTGGTGAATAGGACTATAGGAATAACGTAGCAAGCCTTCCTTCTCTACTGGTCTTTGTTCCTTTCATCCGTGTGGTAGTCATTTTCAAAGTTGGGTGAATTATTTGCTATCAAAAAGGTTGGGTGAATTATTGGCTCCTATGTGCCACGATATGATTGGACGGCTTATCGTGCGACCGGGGCTACATCGCAAGCAGTCAGCTCAATTATCATGCCTAGGACTATGATAGTATATCCAAACACTTTCTCCTCCAGCAATAACATCGTTAGATTTTTAATTTTCACGCTGCAGTCAGAAGTGAGAAAAATATAGATACTTGCCTAGGACTATGATAGTATATCCAAACACTTTCTCCTCCAGCAATAACATCGTT